CGTTGACCATTTGGCACCGTGTTGAAGTTGGGTGATGAAGAGGCGGTGAGGGTGGTCAAGATGCAGGGATGGTCAAGATGCCGGGAATTACGTTAAGGCAGAAACAAGCGAGGTCACGTTTTGTGGGGTAAATCAGCTCAGGGTCTCCCATGTCCAACCTGACTGTACCCTGATCCCATTTGCTGGTAAATGGCTTCACAGTCCGACATTCTGCTTTCTATGTTAAGAGACAAGCTGCTCAACGCCGTCAGCACCAAGGCTGGAGTCGCCGTCGGTGTCATCACCGTTTACATTTCGCTATGTCGAGCGCTGCGCTTTCGCCGCCGCGATCAGGAGTATGCAAAATATCCTTACAAGACCCGCGAGGATATGGCCAAGATGACTACGGAGCATGCGTGGGAGATCGTTAGATATATCACAACGTTGGAATTTCCCTTGATGGCTGAAAAAGCCTTGCAGTTTGCCTTGTTTAGGTAGGATGTTTCTGGCTGCTTCACCTTTCATTCATATCTACTTTCATAGGATTCTATCGTCGACTCTGTTCAGCTCCACCTACCCTCTTGCTGACGCCAGCATGCTCGACCATGACAAGACTTTAGCCCTGATAATATTATATCCTGTACCATGGTTCCGCCAACTCTGTAGATGGCACTAATTTCTGACCCGTGCAGGACTTATGCTATCCCCACCATCTCCAAGCTCCTTTGCGAGACCCGCCAGCTCGCAGAGCCTCAGAACGCACCTCGTCGATATGAAGACACCACTGTGCTCATCACCGAATTCATTAATCACCCACCGTCGTCTTCGCGCGCAAACGCAGCTATTGGTACGTGTCTTGCCACTCCTCTATCGGCTTTGGGAAAGGGAGGCCACCGCTGATCATTTACCTAGCACGCATGAACTACCTCCACGGTCTGTACCAGCCTTCCGGCAAGATCAGCAACGACGACATGCTCTACACGCTGAGTCTCTTCATCCTCGAAGTCGAACGCTGGATCCGACTGTACGAATGGAGGCAGCTCACTGACATGGAGCTTTGCGCTTTGTACGATTCTTCCCTTCCGACACGCTCCTGCCCTGTATACAGCACACTAACATTCAAACCCCCAGGTCCACCTTTTGGAAATCCATCGGCGACGCACAAGGTATCGACTTCTCTCCCCTTCCCAATGGACCCTCGTCCTTCCGTGACGGCCTGGATTTCTTCCATTCCCTTCGCATCTGGGCCGACCAGTATGAGGAACGGTGCATGATACCAACCGAGGACAACCACAAGACTGCCGAGGAGACGACCTCGATTCTCGTGTACAATCTTCCCCGGTTCCTTCAACCCGTCGGCCGCCGTGCCGTCATCGCCCTGATGGACGAGCGCCTTCGCATTGCCATGATGTACCCTCGCGTCTCATCTCTGTACTACTACCTGGTCCCTGGCACTCTCCACCTGAGGCGCTTCGTGCTGTCGTTCCTCACGCCTCCCCGCCCCGAGTTCCTGCGCGTGCAAACCATAAGTGCGACCGCAGACCCCCAGACGGGGCGGTACCATAAAACGGCCTACGAAGTCGAACCCTGGTACATAGCCAACACGTTCTGGAACCGCAATAAGCCATCCAGTTGGCTGAAATGGCTGACTGGCCGACCGTATCCCGGTTGCAAAGGTGGAGAGGTGTACAAGAGCGAGGGATATAGGATTTCGGAGATTGGGCCGACGAAGTGGGAGAAGAGTGGGCAGGAGGAGTGTGAGGAGTTGGCCCAGAGGTTGCAGGCGGGGAGGGTCGCTTGCCCGTTCGCTGTGAGATGAGCAGAGTGTAGAAGAGGAGTTGTAGAAGCCGAAACTTGATTAGCACATTGGATGAGGGGATAAACGAGACGACATGGGGCTAGAGATGAGGCTTGCACCTTTGGGTGCCATTGCTATATACCCACTTTTGCTTCATCAGTGCCGCAGCGCAGACAGGTTATGGTGTTCCGTATATCACGGCAAGCAGGTTGCTGGTTAGTTGAGATGTTAGACATGTTTTCGCTACTTATGTACCGCTTGAAGTGGTAAACACCTCTAGACCTCATGGATCCTCCAGAACTGATTATGCAAGGTCATGATGGCTTCAATCCTGTGAGGCGGCAACCCCAAACACCATTCCCCCTCCCTCGGCCAAAGTCATATCACTTGCCATCCAACTCAAAAATCTGCGCTACGACGCCAACTATTCTTGCACAAACTGTTGAGCAGCGCTCACAGTCTATGCGACTTCCTCAATCTTAGGCTTGCTCTCCCCCTCGGCAGCCTTGTCAGCCTCCGCCTCCGTTGCTGGCTTTCCGCTGTCGCCTTCGAGCTCAGGCATATCCTCATCATCCGGCAGATCGTCATCGCTGTCGCCGCCCTCGCCGCCCATGGCACCGAGATCGGGAAGACCACCGGTACTCTGTGAGGCGGTCAGTTTAGAGAAGTCGATGCCGCCCATGCCTCCGTCGCCAAGAGGATTCATTGCCGAGAAATCGTCCTCGGCCGCCTCTTCCTGCTCGTCTTCGTCGACCCACTGGTCAAGGTGTTAGCCGCTGTTTCCATGGAAGGTGCCCAAGGCTCGAGGCACGAGGCACGAGGCACATACCTTATCGAAGTTGGTCTTGAGGAAGTGCTGCCTCTTGCTATCCTTCAGCAGGCGGGGCCAGTACTCGGCCTTGAGCTCCTTCTTTCGCAGCACCATTTCGATATCACGAGCAGTGTGATTGATCTTGGATTCCTTGGGATCGATCTCGGCATAGAATTCGAGGTCGACGGCATAGGTCACCTTCTTGGAGGTCGACGGGCCGTGGAATGTGAGCTTGGTAGGCTGGAGGTCGAGCTTGAGTTCGCTTTCGGGAACATCTGGAGCCATAATGGTAAGGAAGATGTGGTTCTTCTCGGCCTCGGTCGCCGATGAGCGCTGCGCCCACAGGACTGTTGGGGATTAGCATGCGCGCAATTGGAGGTCGGTGTGGGGTTCGACGGCAGAAACTGACCTTCTGGTGTCAGGGTCTGTGACTGCGCCATTGTGAGGTGACGAAGGGTTTCGTGAGAAGTGAGCTGGTGAGTGAAGAAGGAGAAAAAATAATGTCGTAAGCTCTGTCTTGGTGATTGTATGAAGTCAAAGTTCTGTGATGTTTTCTGAAGAGGAGAGAGTAGGCGGTATGGCTTCTGCTTGGAGGGGTTTAGCGTCAACCGGAAGCTTCCAGAAGCTGCCAGGACACCACCTGGGAACCACAACGCACTTTACTGTATACGACTGTTAAAAGTACTGTATAACCTGAATTCCGATAGACGAGAAGATGAAGTGTACGTCGACGCTTGGTAGAAGGAGTTGTCTTGAAGAGACCGCTCTTTTCTTTAGTGGGTTGTTTTGCATTGGCGCCTTCCCCGCCAGACGTCACCCAGTTGCGGAATGGCCCGAGCGCCCAAGGGGACTTCAATGTTGGTGAATCTACGTATACACAGTACTACAACAACACCGGCGCCAGATCAACTTACAGTAGGCGCAGAGACGGTGAACGCCCGCTTTAGCCGGTCTTGATAAGAAGTTCAATATGCAGACCATACGCGGCTTTCTCTTCAAGCCCACGCCCGAGGAGCAGGTCACTTGCCCGACATAACCCTCTCAAGAAGGCTGCTAACCTTTCCCCCAGAAGCGCAAATGCAATGCACTCGTCCGCCAAAATGTCCGCAAACTTGATCGCGACATCCAAAACCTCAAACAAACCGAGATCAAGACCAAGAACTTCATCCTCCAAGCCAGCAAGCGGGCACAGCGCAACCCCGCCATGGCCAAGCAGGCAAACCAGGACGTGCGGATATTCGCCCGAGAGTTGATCCGCGTGCGGAAACAGAGTTCGAGGTTGCACACATCCAAGGCGCAGCTACAATCGGTCCAGATGCAGGTGAACGAAGCCTTCTCCGTGCGCAAGATTGAGGGGTCGATTAAGGCGTCTACGGGAATAATGAAGGATGTAAACACGCTCGTCAGAATGCCGGAGCTGACCGGGACCATGCGCGAGTTGTCGGCTGAACTCATGAAGGCGGGAATCATCGAGGAAATGGTGGGCGATACGCTGCCGGATAACGAGCTGTTGGAGGGGGAGGACGAGGAGGCCGAAGAAGAGGTCGACAAGGTCCTAGGGGAGATTCTCAAAGATCAGCTACCTGCAGGCAGAGCCAAAGAAGAAGAGCTACCGGCTCAGCCCGTCGAAGAAGAGGAAGAAGAGGACCAGGCGGAGATGCTGGAACAAATGAGAGGGCGCCTAGAGGCTCTGAAGAGTTGAGACGTGTTGAAGGGCGCTGTATCATGGAAGAGCACATCGGAGTTCTGGCGCACATAATCAGATACTTGGGATACACGGGATTTCCAGTCGGTTGCATTACCGAGTCCGAATAGCACGTTCGGCTATTTTGCATTCCAAGTCATGCTCTATATACCTGCAAGTCATTCCAGTGTTCTTGATATCTTGGGTATACAGGCGGGCTATCGGTTGAAATTCATGCTATATCCTCCGGTCTTTTCATCCTTGGTGAATTGGAAGTTATCTGTGCTGAGCCCGAATGGTTTCAGTATGCCATTTCCGAGCTGCTTCAACTTCGCCATCATTTCCGCCATTTCCGCGTTTTTGGCGGCTTCCAACTGCGAAGGCAAGTCCCGCAGCGCCGCCTGCACAGTCTTCTGATCGAGGTTCGTTAAAGCGTGGGGTGGATTCATCAACGCTTGGTAATCTTCAAGCGCCCCCTGCAGAGATGCCCAACCCCCAATCTCTCGCCGTGCTTTTGCGCGTCGTAACAGTGCTTTCGTGCGCAGCTTGTGCACACCCTGTATGCTTCGACCGGTCCGGGAGAGGGCTGCAAGTCTGAGTTCCGCAGCCTCATCCACCTCTTCGGCCTCTGATGGACGGCCGGTCCCATCCTCCTTCCCTGCTGTCTCAGATGGCGGGTCTAGACGATCGAGTGCATCCAATGCCTGCGTAGCTGATTCAACGGCGACTTTCCATTCCGAGAGCTTGATGTGACATGCGGCGATATTGGAGCGAAGGACGGCAATGTCATATTCGAGGTACAAGGGGCAAACAGCCAGAGCTTTCTCGTAGCCCTGTATTGCAGTAGAGTAATCCCCGGCTGTGAATGTTTTATTTGCGGCATCCTTCTGGGTGTTGGCTTCTTGGAGGAGCCGTGATTCTTCTTCTGGAGGAAATATTTGCGGTGCTGATGCCTCGCCTGGCTCTGGCGTCACGGAGGCTGAGGTATTTCCCGACATATTTGTGGACATTTTCCTGGGAGTATGAGCCTCGTTGTTCTCGGTGAATGTCAATCATCAGCTCGTCTCGTTGTTGGGAAAGTGACGTCTGTTATGGAAAACAACGCTATCCCGACAAAGGTAGGCGGTGAGCGCTTAACCTCGGCGTGCCTTTTGACATCCCGTCTTCACTTACAACTAGTGTACAATCAAACGAACATTACCCGCCCTGACAGCTCGTTGTTCACAGATCCCTCACGGACAGTCGTTCACTACCACAATGGCTACCAATGGGTACGTAACAGCATAATATCCCGTCTGCATGGCCAAGCTGACCGAACTAGAAAACCCCCACCAATACGTGCCGCGCTGTTTGATATGGACGGCCTCCTCATCGACTCGGAAGATCTTTATACAATCGTGACGAACACCTTGTTGGAGAAATACAACCGCCCGCCGCTTCCCTGGTCCATTAAAGCCCAGATGCAAGGACGACCCGGCCCTCAAGCTGGCGAAATTTTCCACGCCTGGGCGCAACTTCCCATTTCCTGGGAAGAATACATGGAGGAAAACGTGAAACTGCAGAGGGAGCATTTCCCCCGCTCGAAGCCGTTACCGGGGGTTCTGGAACTGCTAGAGCAGCTCCGGGAGGCGCGAATCCATATGGCCTTGGCGACGTCAAGTCACAGTGGGAACTACAAGCTGAAGAGCAGCCATTTGCCGCATCTGTTTGACGAGTACTTTGAGGATCGACACAAAATCCTCGGCGATGATCCGAGAATACCAAAGGGGAGGGGGAAGCCGGCACCGGATATCTACCTCTTGGCATTGGATGTGCTGAATGCGACGCTGAGGGAAAGAGGCGAGAAGGAGATCCTACCAGAAGAGTGCTTGGTGTTTGAGGACAGCGTGCCAGGGGTTGAGGCCGGGCGGAGGGCGGGAATGCAGGTGGTGTGGTGTCCGCACCCAGGGTTGCTGATGGAGTACAAGGGTAGAGAAAAGGAGGTCCTCGCAGGGTTGACCGGCGAGCACAAAGAGGACGAGGAAATCGAGCTAAGGCGCTCAGAGGTACAGGTCAGCCAGGGAAGGAGGAGAGTCGGGCTGCCTGGGGAAGTGGATGATGGATGGGCAAAGCTTCTGGAAACTCTGGAGAATTTTCCATATGAAGAGTTTGGGATCCAAGTCAGGAGGGAATTACGGAACTGATTGAGGAGTTAATAAGCTGGGGTCCAGTTAGCTCTGGCATGATTAGGCGTTTGCGGAAGTCCAATCCGCCACGGTCGGATTGAAGACATGTTAGATGAAACCGATCAATAATACAGATGCACTGTTGAGAGGGTGACTGCTTTTTGTAATCTGGAAGGACGTTTGCTGTGGTTGGTATCGTGCATATCTGTTCGCGGGTCTCTTATGTGGCCTCGTACCATAAGTGTGAGGCTTTCCGCACATTGCGGATGCGGATAGCTTATTATACGGAGTAGTTCACGATGGGAGGGTGGAAGGGTTCGAGCTGTTGATGCCAAGCCGCTAGCCAGATATGTGTAAATGTACGGAGTAAGGAAATCAGGGAGAGTCTTATTCCGGCCTCAAACCCTCAAGGCAATCCACAATATGGAAAGACGTAGATTACGAGCTTAAGGTGCTTTTCCAGAATATCGATTCTCCTTGCAAAAAGACGTGAATCCGTCACACCATCCCAAGTACTTGGAAACACGCGCCCAAACTCGACAAGGCTACTTGTAGATGGGCCGGAAATACAAACAGCTGCCATAACAGGCTTGGTACCTGTACAACCCCGGTATTCTCGGTGTGTTTCAAAACGAATCCTGAAAATGGTGCTTGAGTGAATCACGGTGATTTGCGGAGGCGGCGTAGCACCATCTCATTGGATGCTTTCTGCTCCTCCAGCAACAAGCGGAGGATCGGCTCATCTCAGCTCCATCGCCGTCCTCAGTACATAACACGACGGGTCTGCCCTCTCCTCCACAGATGTCGCTTACCCACGGGCGAGGTCGAGAACAGCACGTCAGTCTCTGACGATGCATTCCGCGGTTGCTTCCTCGATCCTCTTCTGGCTATTGGCGATTGGGGTCTCTGCACACTGGGATTGGGTGAAGGACTTCCCCGACTGTTGGAGACACTGTCTGAAGGGCAATGGTGGCGGGTGCGCGTCGAGTGAATGTAGGTGCTCGAACCCTCCATCGGAAAGGGGAGTCGCTGATATCTTCCGCAGGCATATGCGATGCTAGCCAGATTGATGATTTCCTTCCCCCGGCTGTCTCATGTGTCGCTACGAAATGCGACGCGAATGACTTCGCGCTTCGCCTGTCACTCCTTTTGCCCCTTGAAGGATACTGTCACTTTGTTGGAAACGAGATCCCCGATGATATCATGAGCAGTGCATATGCGGCGACTACGGCGACGGTCACGTCTGCACCAAAAGCCTCCAGCACACACAAAGGCGATCACGACCGGCCAAGAACGACAAAAGGACGGGATTATGACCTGACGGCGACCGTTACATCAACATTTACTGCGACAACAACGAATGAGGAAGGACAGACTCTTCAGATCATAGTGCCGGTGGTGATAGGACGAGAAACCATAAGCTATGGCAAGACCACCACCTCTACACTGGAGAAGAAGACGACTGTTGAATCCGTGGCTTCGGCTACGGCTCGCCCGACCGTGCGCATTACCAGCGCCGGACCGACACAGACGGAGGCTCAAGCGACGTCTACCACCCTCACCTCAAAAGCAGCACAGCGAACATCGAATAGTAATGGAAGTCCTTTTGAGAATATGCAAGCGGAAGCCGGTAGACACGAAGTCCCTGGCATATTTACAGGGTTGGGTGCGGTAATTGGAATGTTGTTTGCATTGTAGATGTTTCGCACGTAATGTTGGTTGAAGGGCTATCTGATACCATTTGCGGGAAATGATACACGCGGTTCTGGTAATGGAGGCATAAAGTGGAGCCCGTTATGCATTGTTTGCGATCGTGATCATAAAGTCGGTGCATGTCCAGGGCTGGCACTCGGCACCTCCTGTTTCGAAGGGGTTCAAAGGGTGCCAAAAGGGTTGATGTGATCTCGGTATATCTCGGTACATGTGAAGATCGAATGGCGAGAAGTACCAGCGTTTGACCATGGACCAATCCCGGACCTGCTGACGTAGCTCAGAATATTCAACTTCTTCCAAAGCAAACCACTGCCACACGATACATACCGTGAACATCTCCGTAAGCTTTCCCTCCGGACGCCATTCAACTCTCTTAGGGGAGCTTCAACGCGGAGAGTGCGGCAAAGAGGTTTTGCACTCGAAGGCATCGCCCTAAACAAAACGCCATTCGGTGTCGCTCTCGACATGGAGTCCGAACCCATTCCTGGTCCTCCTGGACTGCCATTGATTGGAAACTTGTCCGATATTGACCCCGAGAATCCTCTTCAGTCCATGATCAACTTGACCGAAACCTATGGTTTGTATACGTTGAACCCGTACACTTGTATACGATGTGAGACATGTTCTAACTCGCAACAGGGCCCATATGGAAATTCCAGCTCGGGACATCGCCTCGGATTGTCATCGCGAATCAAGCCCTGATGAACGAGGTCTGCGATGAAGAACGGTTCGCTAAGGTTGTGTCCAGCGCTCTGGAAGAGGTGCGCAATGGCACACACGGTATGCCATTGCCCTATTCAGCTTTCTCGACTTCTGACGTCGAACAGATGGGCTGTTTACGGCGTATGGCCCCGAAGAGAAGAACTGGGGTACGCGGCGTCTGTTCATTGACAATAATCTCGCTCAAGTGTATAGGAATTGCCCATCGGGTACTGCTGCCTGCGCTTGGCCCGTTGAGCATTCGGAATATGTTTGATGAAATGCGTGTACGTGCCCCAGGATGCCGTAGAGCGCGAGCAGATATGCCTTTCGCGGACCTTCCGCTGCCTCCATGATCTTGATTTGCGTTAATTTGGGTCCTCCCGAAGCTATAGTAGGGAACGTTTGGCTGACTGACATAGGATATTGCGTCCCAACTTGTCATGAAATGGTACGGTAAGACCCACTCTGATGTAGACAGACACTCATATCTATAGGGCTCGACACGGTCCAAACGCAGTCATTCAAGTAACTGATGATTTCACGCGGTTAACTCTAGATACAATTGCACTTTGTGCGATGGATTACAGGTTCAATTCATATTACTACGAGTCATTGCACCCATTTATCGCGGCCATGGCGGAATTCCTCAAGACTTCAGGGGATAGGGCGAGGCGCAATGCTCTAGTACAGTCTCTGTTTTATCGGCAGGAGACGCAGAAGTACTGGGAAGATATTGCCCTGCTTCGGAAAACAAGCCAAGAGGTGATCGACACGAGGAAACAAAATCCAACGGACAAGAAAGACATGTGAGAGAAACCCATTATGTGATGCCATTCGCTGATCGGTCACAGACTTAATGCAATGCTCCATGGAGTTGATCCACAAACCGGCGAGAAGATGTCTGAAGAGAGTATCATCAGCAACATGATTACGTTTCTCATTGCTGGTCATGAGACTACTTCGGGGCTTTTGTCTTTTGCATTCTACTATCTCCTCAAGAATCCCGACGCATACGACAAGGCCCAGCAGGAGGTTGACAACGTCATTGGGAAAGATCCAATCAATGTTGATCACCTCTCAAAACTACCGTATCTTGCAGCGGTAAGGCTGACGAAAGCATACTACGTTTACTAGTCTGATTTAAAGTAGGTTCTGAGGGAGACACTCCGGTTAACACCAACAGCACCTTTAATCGGACTACAGGCAAAAGAGGATACTACCTTGGGCGGCAAGTATCAGGTCAAAAAGGTCTGATCTCTCTTTGACTTGGCGCCTTATCACTGAGATATAACAGGGTGTTCCTATCGTTGCTCTCCTCCACAACATCCATCGTGATCCAACGGTTTACGGTGAAGACAACGAAGCTTTCCGCCCAGAACGGATGTTGGATGAAAACTTCAAGCGTCTCAATGAACAATATCCGAATTGCTGGAAACCGTTTGGCAACGGAATGCGTGCTTGCATTGGCAGGCCCTTTGCATGGCAGGAAGCGCTCATGGTTACCGCGCTGCTTCTCCAAAACTTCAACTTCTCCATGGAGGACCCCTCATACAAGCTTCAGATTAAACAAACCCTTACCATCAAACCCAAAGGCTTCCGCATGCGGGCCCATTTACGCCACCATATCACACCGACGAGTTTGGAAAAGGTCCTGGCAACATCCTCCGTTGGCGATCGTGTGGCAACCAAGACGGCCGACTCACAATCTACGCCACCCATGCCATCGGCAAAGCCTAGAGGAAAGGCTATGCTCATTCTCTATGGCTCCAACACTGGCACTTGCGAAGCATTGGCCAACAGATTAGGAGCAAACGCCTCAAACCACGGATTTCTTGCCGAGGGCATTGATACGCTCGACTCGGCAAGGGACAACTTGCCAATTGACAAACCTGTGGTTATAATCACGGCGTCCTACGAGGGCCAGCCAGCAGATAATGCCGGACATTTTGTCAAATGGGTCGACGGCCTTAAGGAATCCGAGCTGTCGAAAGTGGCCTATGCTGTCTTTGGCTGCGGGCATCGAGACTGGGCCAAGACGTTTCATCGTATTCCCAAACACCTCAATGAAGTCATGGAGAAGCGTGGTGGGACGAGGATCGCTCCAATTGGGACCGCTGATGCTGCATCAGGTGACATCTTTACCGATTTTGAGACATGGGAAGACCAGGTGTTTTGGCCAGCAATGAAACAACAATACGGTACCACTGATGCGGGTGATGAAAGGCAAGAGTCTGGTGTTAAAGTGGAGGTCTCCGCACCACGGCCCTCTATGTTACGTCAAGATGTGAGAGAGGCAGAAGTTGAAGACGTACAGATCTTATGCAAGGCCTCTGCTGCGGATCGCATCGGAGAAAAGCGACACATTGAAATAAGTCTACCCTCAGACATGACTTATTCTGCAGGTGATTACCTCGCCATTCTGCCTTTGAATCCGAAGGAGAACATTGGTCGGGCTATGAGGCACTATGGACTTGCATGGGACAGCATGTTGACCATAACGTCTGCTCGTCCCACGGTGCTACCTGTGGGAACGCCGGTTTCTGCGACAGACGTGCTTGGAGCCTATGTCGAGCTTGCACAGCCAGCCAGCAAGCGCAATGTATTGGCCTTGCTGGAAACAACACCGGACTCGGAGACGAGGGAAGAACTGGAGCGTCTCTCGGATGTTGACTTTGCGGCCGAAATCACGGCGAAGAGGGTGTCAGTGTTGGATCTTCTCGAAAGATTCCCTTCCGTGCAGCTTCCACTTGGGGCTTTCCTGGAAATGCTTCCTCCCATGCGGGTTCGCCAATACTCAATTTCTTCTTCTCCCTTATGGAATCTCAACAATGTTACCCTGACCTACTCCGTCCTTGACCAACCTGCCCTAAGTGGCCATGGGCAATTTGTTGGCGTCGCTTCGAACTACCTGTCCAGTCTGGATCCTGGTGACAAGGTACACGTGGCCGTACGTCAGTCACATCAGGCTTTCCACCTGCCCAAGGACGGCAAGAATGTTCCAGTCATTATGATCGCTGCCGGGACTGGCATTGCTCCGTTTCGGGGTTTCATCCAAGAACGCGCGGCACAGTTGGCTGCTGGTCGGAAATTGGCCCCGGCTATTCTCTTCTACGGCTGCCACTCGCCGACCAGCGATGCCCTTTATGCGGACGAGATGGAGCGTTGGGAAGACCTCGGCGCAGTCTCCGTACGTTATGCATACTCTCGTTCCCCAGAACTGGCAAACGATTGCTGCTATGTTCAAGAAAGGGTGTACCACGATCGCAAGGAGGTGGTTGAACTGTTCGAGGCAGGCGCGAAGGTGTTTGTTTGTGGTAGTCGGGAGGTTGGGAAAGGGGTCCAAGATTGCTGTCTGAAGATCATAAAGGAGAGAAGTGAAGAGCAAGGCCGGCATATCAGTGACGAGACAGCTCGGGAGTGGCTCGAGAAACAGAGGAATGAACGTTTCGCGACGGACGTATTTGCTTAAGCCTCTCATGGCATGGTATGTGAAAGTCAAAACACTGGTACAAGAGTGCAAGGTTTCCGGTTCGTAATTTGCAAAAACAAGCATCTAGCTTACCATATATGCCTCTCCGTAAAGGCAGTCACTGATATTGTGTCTCACCCATATTGCGAGATGATTCGTTGGGAGCGTTGTTGAAGTGGTTATTCCTAGCTGACAAACCCGAACCGTGTACATGTACCTGTACTGTGTATATGCGGCAGTGATTGGCTAATAAACGCAGTGATGAACGGGTAACCAAGCCCCGCCCCCGCTACACATCCCAGACCTCTGTCCTAGATCTCTGTCCCAGTAGGCCCCCTCAAGTCTGATTTATGCCTTCATCTCCCAATATCGCGCCATATGGAAGCCGTGAGAACTACTAGTAGTATTCTGGGGTAGGTGGATATTTCTGAGCCACTGCAAAAGCATACCAATAACCTGGCATCAGCTATGATCGAAGTCGTAAATAGTTGGTTCGACGTTGTCTGGGGAGGGATCCGGACAGTGGACAAGTATAAGACCACTTTCCCCTAGTTCTCCACATGACGTTGACCGAAGGGTAGCTCTGTTATTTGTCTCCGCTATGATTCGGCATCTGATCGGCCATTCCTGGATGGCTTCATCCGAAAACTCCCCCCAGATATCCGCCAGATGGTCTATGATGAGTTGTTGCATGAAGACATGATCGAATATTTCATTGACTGCCTTTCTGAGGCGCGCGGACTCCTTTGGGATCCAGTGATACAACATAGCATGCCCACATTCATGAAACCCCGCTATGTTGGAAGGCAGATTGCAACCGAGCTCGCAGAAGCTGCCTACAGGAAGATGTTCAAGTACCAAGCCGAGGCCTACGTTGACGGAGAGGACGACAGAGATAACATCAGGCAGTTTCTAGCAATCGATCTTTTTGGCGTGGGCGTCACACCGATCAGATTCCTCCGCAGCTTTCGCATTCAATGGGATGTTCAACGCCTCACGAAGAGCAAGTTAGAGCGGTGTCGGTGGGATCTTCAGGCCCTGCGTCTTCTTGAACCATGTTTGGGGCTTGATGTCACGGTCACGCTTATTACACCGATCAACAAGTTCCGGTTGCTGAGGCTCGGGGCGCTCTTAGAGGCATTCGCACCCGTTCAGGAGCACTTCGAGAGACGTGGGATTCGGTACCGCATAGTGGCGTTTTATTTGGGACTAGAGATAGACGTGAAGCGGTATTTCCGAGATGAGAAACAGGAGTGGTACGAGTGGCTCTATGCAACCATTGAGAAGGTAATTCCTACATCCCAACCTCCAAAGGTAATGGCGACGAGCGTGACAGTTGATGCCATCCAGCGGGAGCGACAACAGTACGTCGAATGACCTGAGAAGACAGCGATTAGACAGGACATCGTGGCACTGCTGTCCACTGTCACGGTGGGATGCTCGGGGTGAAAAGCCAAACTTGACGACGGGACAGAATATGTCACCGTATCTTATAAAAGCAGTGATTTAGATGCCGGAGCTACGAGACCCAAGACGCATGACCCAAATACAAGTCTAAAGCAACTATTTTGCCTTCATGCTCATTTCCCGCACTGTTTCGCGCCCACCCTATAACTTCGACCGTGACCCATCGCTGATATTCGCGCAACAAGGCACGTTGCGCGCGCAGTATGGGGACCGGCTTTGTTTTAATCCAGGTTGAGGAGTGCCAACAGGCCTCAATTTGGATGTTTGCTCGGTCTTGAAGGGAGAGAAGGGACGGGACAAACACCAACTCCGGCATCCGCAAGAAGCAAGAAGAGAAATTGAAGCAAGAAGAACGCCTCCTGGCGAGCAACAACTCCGTCTGAGGTGAAGCTATATCAGATTCGTGGGGCGACGTGAGTGGCCTAAGATTGGGAAGATGGGCATAAGTGTGTCATAGCAATATTTATCTACCAAAGTGCTTCAATACCAAGAAGCCCAGGTGAAAAGTAATGAATTCTTGCTATTGTCCATGTGAGGCTGCGGTGGCCTTAATAGTAATGAGATATCAGTAAGAGGACGTTTAATAAATTCGCGGCTGCACCCAGAGGCGATCTGCTCCGTATTTGTTTCCAGAACCTCTTGGTCCCGCTGCGAATGTGGGGGTTACTCCTGAGTGAAAACAAGACAAATAACAACTACTCACAGCGCTACGGAGTACACCTGTCGACGAGGTCGGGTGTGAGTATTCTCTTCTCACAGTAAATAATGTCGTCAGGTGCTGAACAGGAGAAGATGATGGAACCGTGTGGAACGGAGACGATGGTGTGTTACGATGATTCGTCGAACCAAAATACTTGGGATATGCTTGGAGAATGCTTACGTATTTAATGCGTCATCGCGATTTACGATCGGCACCCGCCAGCCGTTCCCGGGGAGACCTCTTACGAGTCGTACCAAAATACACAGTGCTGTGTAACACATTGGTACACAGTACCACAGTACAACGCCTCAGATTCCTGCGCAATGGTTCTGGCTTTTGAAACAGGGACACGGTATAAAACCGCCGCGCTTCGGAAAAGGCTTGAATCTCATCTCTGGAATCTGAATCCCCAACTTTGACGTTAGGCATACATGGTGAGCTTATGCGACGGGGATTCACAACGTTTACGGTACGGAGTATACTACTAGTAGAATACCTGTTCCGGGTTTAGGCTTCGGAGTGGCGAACAAAGAGCCACTCAATAATGTGGCGCATCCAGTAGGAAGTGGTTGGCCGATGTTGCTATAATTGGTTGCTGGTGACACAAGAATCAGGGCGGTTTCCGAGTGTCGATGTTGTTTGTTATTGTGAGAGCTTCCAGGGTTGAACCAAGTAATTGAATCGGGGTCCCAGGTAGAAAAGGGCAGACTGCCCTGCTGCTCTCCCGTCCATTCAACTCCCACTTCTCAGATCAAAGTCCATCGCTGCCCAAGACTCCCATCGTCTGTCGCTACAGAGTATACACCTCTTTGCGTTCCGCCATTTACTTCAAAGACATCAGAATGCGCGCTACGTTCCTTCTCCCGGCCTTTGCCGCCGCCGTCGTCGCCCAAGACGTGAGTTCTTCTTCAGCATCAACCTCTGAGTAGTGGTTCCGATTCTAACCGATCTCTAGAGCAGCTCTCCCCAAGTTGACTTCCCCCAGACGTCTTTCCTCACCCAGACCAACTCACTGGGCGTCGTAACCGGCCAACCTGCACTTCAGACATCTCAGCCTACCGTTGGTCCCGCCGAAACCTCGCAGCCTCCCCTCGCTACCAGCGTGGGCCAGGCCGCGAGCATTCCCGCTGTTGGCTCGGGCATCTACACGCTCCCCATCCAGGGCACCGCAGGGCCCAATTCGACGCAGACCATCATTGTCTCGGCCAACAACAGCACCACTCTGGTTCTGAGCACTGTGGGCGTGGGCGGCAACACCGCCAGCGGAACAAGTCGCCCCACCGGTGCCGATTCGACCGAGTCTCCTAATGAGACGGCCTCTGGATCTCCTACGAAAAGTGGGACTTCGACCAGCACCGGCGCGGCGGCAACGATGCATGCTGTTGCTGGATCCGTTGCGGGTCTCGGTGCCTTCCTTGCTGCTGCCCTCTTGTAAGAGTCTCGCAGCAATTCCTTTTCTTGCATCGCCACTGTATATCTGCATACAGAATGGCTACTTCCTAAAAGAAGAAAGAAAGACACCCTCTTATCGGAGTATTGAGAATGTCGGAGCATAGGCGCATATTCAACGGGACTGGGTCGTAATTTGGTAATGATTGCTGTTGGGTTTGGGACGTCTGCGGGGGAGCCACAGATGGCAGTCAGGATAACATGGTTGTCGTCCGCTTTTTGATGGGAGGTAGTGGCACTGCAGTCAATCGATTGTAGGCTAATGGATAGCTAATAAAACCGTCGAAATTGTAACCATGCCTCACCTCATGCGTGCGTGATGAAATGATATATTATGAACATCTTGAAAAGTGCTTTGCCCTTGACTTACACGGTTTCCAATACTCGATTCCCGTTCTAGCTCCTGCCTTACCCGTCTTTTCAAGCCAATATGTGAATACATTTATTTCGGGCATTTGTTGGATCACTCACCCCGCTTTGCGGCCCCGCTCCGCGGTTTCTAGGTTTCTGACAGAACCATCGATAGGTATGTTTCAAGGAAGAGGCCATGGGGCCGTTCACTTCATGTACATGTATTAACCAGCGCAAGAAGGGATCGCTCACGTAGGATGGCGAGTTCCGCTGCCTTCCCTATTATACGCCTCGCCATCCCCTACACATCACCCCCCTCGCGCCTACGGACACTGTCCCTATACTTCCCGCGTCCACTTGAAGAATCCGATCCGGCCAACACGGTATGGGTCATGTAAGTTAGGCATTTTTGTGATAGAAGATGAAAACCGAGTTCTTGCTAACCTGAGAGCCACAGCTATATTCATGGCGGTGCCTGGCGCGATCCCCTCCAGACAGCACAGTGCATTGAACCCACTCTCGCCCACTTCACCAACAGAGTTCCGTCCCTGAACAAAATTGCAGCAATCGCTTCCATCAATTACCGACTCTCTCCTTACCCTACTCACCCCACCGATCCCAGCAGCAAGGACGACGAGGAGCGAAACGCAAAGCATCCAGACCACGTGCGAGATGTGAAGGAAGCGTTGGCCTGGTTACGGCGCGAGTACGGTGTAGGTCAGAGCAACAGAGGAGGAAAAGGTTTTAAATGGATAGGAGTAGGACATTCGTGCGGAGCTACCTTGCTTTTACAGCTTATCGCTGGCGTCGGATTGCCACCAAAAGACGAGGGCAGCACAACCACCGCACTCGCTCATCCATCAGCTTTGATATTATTGGCAGGGATCTACAATATACCTCTGCTTCTGGAGAATCATCAACAGCCCAGTTCGAGTCCGGAATTCGCAGCAATATACAAGGATATCATTCAGGGTGCGTTTGGGAAAGAGAAGTCGGCGTGGGAGGATGCGTCTCCTTCTTACCACCCGCCAGTGTTCTTGCATTCTATGGGCTTAACTTCCGTAATGCTTGCGCATTCGCCGTACGACGAGCTGGTGGAAAAGGAGCAGGACGAGGCCATGCTCCGTTCGCTGAAAAGCAGTGGTTGGACCGCTGTGGAGGAGAATTACTCACAATCGCAACGGGGACTTGTGGAATGTCGAAACTTGAGTGGGTCCCATGACTTTGTCTGGGAGGAGGGAAGCCAGGTTGCAGAGCTGATATCGGAGGTAATTCCGCGAGTGATTATGCAGTGATCAATGTGTGCATTGTATCTCCCTGACGAAGACAATATCAAGCAGGACGCGCTCTGAGAGCGATACAGATCAAGTAATAACGTGTCGCTGCAATAATTTCTTACAAGACCTGGGGAAGAGTGACAACTGTGAAAGTTTTCGCTATCCATTAGGACGCATAACCTGCGGTATAACATTCGCTCGCTGCCTTTCGTTGAGAACCAACGGACCCGAGCATTATTGATACAAATACTGTGACAAGGCCCCTCCAGTGCTTCATTCTCCGACCTTGGTACAAAAATCCAAGGCTGAGATCCTGACCCTTCCCTTAACCAATACCCCTTACTTCTTGCTCAATCTTTGATCCATCGCTTTGTTGATGGCATTCTGCACGCCCGAGGTATTACCCTCTATCTCTTCCAGACTCCTCTCAAGGTCGGCTATCTTTCTGCTGGCAGCAGTGTCTGTGCCGCCAACCATCTTCGCCGCAAGACCTTTTGCTTGAGCCTCGTTGACTTTCCCGTATACCGCCATGGCGCTCGCAATCATGCCACCAATATCCCCAACGTTTCCGGGCACAACAACGCTGGTACCCTCCTTTGCCAACTTGGCAAAAGCGTCGACGTATTTCTCCGCAACGGAAAGGGATATGGCGCCCTGCGCAGACTCCTTGCCCTGTGCAATCGCGCGAGCCACGGCGTCAATACCGGCTGCGGTAGCCTGCGCCTTCAACAGGATCGCTTCAGCCTCTCCGCTTGCCATGTTGATCTGCTCCGCCTTCAATGCCTCAGAGGCAAGGATCACCGACTGCTTCTTACCCTCCGCAATATTGATGGCCGATTGGCGCTGGCCTTCGGATTCGAGAATCTCAGCACGCTTCGATCGTTCCGCTGTGACCTGGCGATGCATGGCCTCCACCACAGGCTCCGGAGCGTGGATGTCACGGATCTCATAACGGAGGCATGTGACACCCCAGTCCTGTGCTGCCTCATTGATCGCAGCGGTGATATTCGCGTTGAGGTTCGCGCGCTCCTTCAATACATGATCAAGGGACAGCTGGCCGATTTCTGATCGCATAGTGGTTTGGGCAAGCTGCGAAATAGCGTAATCAGCGTCTTCCACACCATAGCTGCGAAGCAATGTCAGTAGGTTGCCTTGACGCCCTTGGGAAAGCCATAATCTGATGGTACCCACCTCGCCTTGTATGCATCAAACACCCGCGTGTAGAGAACACCATCAAGCTCCAGGGTAACATTGTCGGCTGTGATAGCGCTCTGGCTAGGGATTTCAATTGCGGCCTCCTTCAAGCTCTTCACATACGCAATACGGTCAATGAATGGTATCAAGATGGCTAGACCAGGCTCCAGTATCCGGTTGAAGCGTCCCATGCGCTCAACAATCCATGCCGTCTGTTGCGGAACAAATCTGATGATGGTATTTGCAGGAAGGCGCTTCGGCGATTGGAAGTATGAGGGAGGCGCACTTTGCGAATTGAACTGTCCGATGGACGAGAAAACGTTCGGCGGTTGGGAGCTAGGGTTGAGCCAGGTATGTGACTGAGTGAAGCTGCGGATCGGCGTGCTACTTAGAGCGGCTCCCAGCGGTGCTAGGTTAACGGGTGTCCGGGGATTTGAGGATCGTATTATACTGGACGCAGCCGATGCTGCAAGCCGTGTGCGAGACGCCATTGCAGGAGTGCACGCTGGACGTTTAGCTGTTTTGGCGGTGATGGTCTGAAAGCTCCAAGTCGGAGCAGAGAACAGCCGCGGAGCCTTACGTAAGCCGACATTGTCATCAGTACAAGAAGTATGTACCAAGTGTCACCCAAAGCAAACGTACAGTATATCCTCCTGCCGTCGATTTCAATGGTCTTAGTGATGGTACACACTAGGAAATCAATAGACTTCAAAATATCGAGACAGTAGGTCCAAGGCCTCGCTCATATACGAGCATCTAGAGAGATTGAACCATGTGAAGTCTGACAATGTGTCTTCCCAGGGTTGTCAATGGATGAAACTACGATCATCTTACTGCACAAAGCCTACTTTTAGCAAATACGTAGTCATTGGAGGCAATCACTCATATCTGGAACAAGGTTCGAAGTCCGATCACGGACAGAGGTTTATCCGTTGCCGAGAAATTCTCCCCAACCAAGTACACAGAGGATGCGAACAGGATCACCAACTCAACCTGCGACATGGCGGAAGAGGGGAGTGCCGCCGCAGGCGGGAAACTCCCGAAACCTCCAAATCCAGTCTGGAGGATGATGGGACTCCCAAATTTCCGCCTAAGACTTCCTTCGCGCAATTGGATGATATTCCTTACAGTAACGGGGTCATGGACAGCGGCTGTCATGTACGACCGACGGCAAAAGAAGCACATACAAAGGAAATGGGCGAAACTGGTGGAGCATATCGCTGCGGAGCCTATCGATACCCACCAGCTACCACGCAGGCTTACCGTATACATCTCCGCCCCTCCCGCGGACGGACTGATTCCCGCGCGCGAACATTTCAACGAATATGTCAAACCTATCCTGGTCTCAGCTGCTCTGGATTGGGATGCAATAGAAGGAAGGAGAGAAGGCGATGTCAGGGCGGCCCTGGCAGAGAGAATACGGAAACTGAGGAAGAAACGTGGAGAGAAAAGTTCGGAGCCTGTGGAGGAGGGAGTGGAGGACATTTTGGAGGAAGCAAGGGCTAGGGCCGGAGTCAAAGAGTGGGATGGGATACCGGGGGATATTGTAATTGGGAGGCATACATGGAAGGAATACGTGAGGGGACTACATGAGGGTTGGCTGGGCCCCCTGGAGGCGCCATCCCGGCCTGAAGAAAGTAGCATTGTTGCTGCGAACGGCACAGACTCCAGCTCATCTGCAGCACTGCCGCTGACCGGTTCCCCGAGTGAAAATGCGGCGGATCCATCGTCGACCGTTCCTAAGTCGCCTACAGACGACGCCTCGCCGACATCAAGTCCCGAGCCGGAAAAACCGCAGGAAGAGAAGCAACCCAAAGCCGAAGAGGAGAAGAAGTCTAAGGGGAAGAAGCAACCTCCGCCTTACAATAGCACAGTGGACTATGCTGAGTCGATCCTCTCTCCCAATTGCCCGCAAGCCCTCGGACCTACCGCTGTGCTACCCCTGCCGCATCTTTTAGGGTTCCTCAATTTCCCGATTCGCATGTACAGGTTCTTGAACCGACGCCACGTTGCGGAGGACGCGGGACGACAGACAGCCGCTGCGGTTCTTGCCGCGTATCGGCCTTTTGAGGCGCCTGCCGAGCGAACATCTGAGCAGCAGGGGGACTCGTCCAATGTCGCTGACGGGAATGGCGAGGGGCAATGGGAACAACAGAGGCTTTTGGAGTTTGAGGAGCCGGAGTGGCATAAATCCGTCCGGGAACGCAAAGATGACGATGGCAGAGAACGAGTGTGGCTAGACGAAATGGTCCTTGACGAGCGCATAGCGGAGCGGATGAGGAAGTTTGTGCTCGAAATGGAGGCCGAGGAGCGCGCAAGACAAATCGCCCGCGAGAGCACGCCAGGGTGGTGGGAGTCTCTTTGGCCCAAGAAGGAGGAGAAGACCAGAAATCTCTGGGAAGGTCTTAAAGATGATTGAGGATACGGCCGTTACTGTGCACTTTCTGCGTCTCAGCTGCATGTGGATGGCAATGTTGTTGTAAGAGTAGCGCGTACCGTAAGGACATGGAGCCCATGGGGCGTTCCCTGTATAGTACCATTGTAGATTCTGGCGATTTGCGCCTTTTTTGTTAGAGGGGAAATATACCACATCACTTACCTCTTGCGATGATCTGTTATTCTTGCGGCTCCTCATGGGCGACGTCTAGTCTATTGAATACGGAGTTCGCTCTGGGAATTTCAGGCGTGCACGGACCGCACCTCACCCTTCCCGCAACCCCTCCCCGTACACAGTTAGACGTTCTCGAACTCCTCCAACCTTTCAAACCCCCCTACAAGTAGACAGGATCGTCGGTTTTATCCTACAACTCTCTCCCCGTAACCCTTCCGATGGTGAGTCGGCGAACTATCATGCATATTCTGGTTTGATCTTGACGACGGTTCCCAGTCCCCGCCCGAATCCAAACAGCGCCTTGCGCTTGCCATTATCGACTTCCTCCAAACCGCACAGACCGACGGCTCCATCGAAGCCGAAGATGCAGAACAGCTGGAAGTTGCCCAGAACTGCATCGCCGAAGCCTTCAAGGTTGACCCTGCCGATCAAGCCGCGATGAAGGATGCGTTGGGCGGCCAGAACCTGGTGGCAATCTACAACGTCTACGAGAAGATAAAAGGGAAGAGCACGTCCTCAACACAGGGCTCAAGCTCTGCATCTGAAGCGCCTTCCGCCACACCACAGACACCTAGAGCGAATGCCGGCGACAAGACGGAAGCGGAGAGGCTGAAAGGCCTGGGCAACGAGGCCATGAAGAGGAAGGATTATGCTGCCGCAATAGACTACTACACCAAGGCGCTGGACATTGTACCACTGAACCCTATTTACCTATCGAACCGCGCAGCAGCGTACTCTGGACAAGGGAAACATGAGGAGGCGAAGAACGATGCAGAGATGGCGGTTGCCGCGGACCCCAACTATAGCAAGGCCTGGTCACGCCTGGGACTGGCCAAGTTCGTGCTTGGAGACGCTAAGGGAGCGATGGAAGCATACAAGTCCGGCATGGAGGCTGAAGGAGGTGGTTCCGAAGTGATGCGTAAGGGATACGAGACGGCGAAAAGAAAGTATGAAGAGGAGAGTGGGAACGCAGCGGCTTCCGAGTCCCCTCGCGAAGGGGCAGGAGGTGCTGGCGGGATGCCCGATCTGAGCAGCTTAGCCAGCATGCTCGGCGGAGGCGCTGGCGGCAGTGGTGGCATGCCGGATCTCGCACAGATGATGAACAATCCGATGATGAGGCAAATGGCGCAGAATCTCATGCAGAATCCCGATATGCTGAGCAACCTCATGAGCAATCCAAGGATAGCAGAGTTGGCCAATTCATTTGGAGGCGCTGGCCGTGGAGGCGGCGGAGCCCCAAACTTCGCCGAGCTCATGAACGACCCCAGCATTCGCGAGGCGTGAGTTATTTCCGCTGACCCCTTCAACACTATCAGCTAATCCGATACAGGGCGCGCAACTTCATGGGCGGCATGGGCGGAGCTGGTGGCGCCGGTCGAGGAGCATAACTATCCAATTTCTGACACTTAGGGCATGACAGCCTTGCCTGGATAGATTTTTTCATCATCAGATAGTAATGATACCACCAGGTCCCACGATCACAGTGGACGAGGTCTTCGGTCGAGCACCCGACGGTATTCCCTTCAAGAGTCCGGGCCCCTGCTGCGTCGGCTATTCCAGCAAGCTCAGCGCGGTGCACTCCTAGGAGGTTCCGCATAGCATATCAGTTCCCATGCATCACCATACACCATAAGCGTGCTAACCCCTTCGTCCCTCGTATCTAGCCCAAGCTCAATCCCCAGAGGCCATCCCCAAGATAATGTCCCGCCTCACAAGCCTGTCCTTTCTTTGCCTTTTTCATTTCCTCGGTCCCCATCTTCAACACCCCAACCATGCATGCGTTCTCCTTACCCTCGGCCTCGATCACCACAACCTCCCCTGGTGCCAGCTCTTCCTTTCCATATCTTCCCTCCTCATCTTCAGGATCGTTTGGTAGACGGCCGCCTGGGGAAGTCAGGCCTGGAGCCATGAGGGTTGCGCCTGAGAGGACGAATCGGATTGCACCGCGGTCTATGCGTAGGCGGTGGAAGCAATCTGGATACTTGTGTACAAGGGCGAGATGGGGGAGGAGAGGATCGTCCATGTGTTGAAAGAAGAGAGGAGTGGAGCCGAGAGTGTAGAGCGACACGCGGTCTGGCCTGGGAAGTGTGGTATGGGATGTTAGCTTTGCGTAGTCCAATGGGACGACAATGCGGGCGAGGATTGGTTGGGAAGGGGTTTGCGTACAGCTTCACCAGGTCGAGCTGGTCCTTTTTAGGTAGGATATCATCGATATATGGCTCGAGGAGGGGATATTGCTCCAGGACTTTGGCACGGATGGCGCGTTGAGCCGAGGATTTCACTTTGCTTTTCGCGCCAGGTGTTATGCTGCGACAGGTGTGAGTGGGTATTCCTCTCCCTTGCGATGAGGTTGAGGAGCACGAACTCTTTTTTAAACATTCTGTTTCTTCACAGTAAAACGTTTGGTGTAGAGGAGCGTTGTTGCTGCAAGTGACGGAGCTTGCTGTGGTCGCAGCCCCGCAGTTGTTTGTTATGGCGTGGGAGGCTGAAATAGCCCACTGCGGGACGTTACGGTGGACTTTTGAGGCATGAGATGCAGTTCCGGCGAAACTATGTTGCGCCTCCGTCTCCGTTTATAGATTGACATGTGGCCAGGGAGCTTTTCCCTTCTTCCGCACAAACGTCTCACATCTTGGACTACAAGTAGTTGTTATACCTGCCATACGCATTATTATCGAACAGCGCATTCTGTTCGTTTCTATCGTCGAAACCAGCTACTAGACGTATGGTCGATGCAGTCACCAGACCTCATCGAGTCAGCCCCAGCGACATCCACCATTCGCAATCTTCGAAGGGATATCATGGATGAGCATGAGCCCGGGGCCCCTTAATGGGCATTAGCATTTCCGCTCTTCCTTGCAACATGCTGCAACGTAATGTGGGCGATGGATGATTAACTTCACTCAGCCCAAAGTCCCTAGGCGGTTATGTGCAGACGCCGGCAGAGTTAACAAGAATTCAGGCATGCTTCATGTTTACGTGCAGCAATCCCAAGTAACCTTTGCATATGAGGGCGCTTTTTTCACATTGGTTGATGTCTCGCATTACATCTTTACATCTGTCCATCATCCTAGTCTCCCAATCATTCGAAGGCTACCAGCGTGATCAACGTGTTCGTCCCTCGACATCGTTGAGGGACTGGATTGAACTTTTCAAACCTGTCGTTGAGAAGAGCTAAACCTGGATCGAGGCACACCAGTAATCCGCCTTGCAGCTATATTCTGGAATATCCAGTTCGTCCCGTACAGTAAACGCGCTCTCTCCATCCTTGAAACAGACAAACTCTTCCGTACCCAACTTCGCCTCCCCAGCAATCGCACTCTTTGCCAAGTTACGCGCACCCGCATCGATATTACTAGCAAAGTCGCCTGCTCGCCCCAGCTTCGCGACCCGTTGGGTGCCTTCCCATGGCGCGGCTGGATTGCTGACCGTCGCAATCTGAGTGGGGTTCTTGTTGCGGTTGGATTCAATGGGACCGTTTGCGTAGTATGCGACGGCGGTGTACGTTGCGGCTCGTTGGCGGGGACAGAGAATAATGAGAGGGCAGTCCGGGATAATGGTTTGCTTTGAGCAGGTTGCGAGGTAGAGGTTGTGTTTGGAACCCATCGGCGCTGCTATGGCGTTCATAGCAATTGCGGCGAGCACAACGCCGAGTGCCTGGTGTAGTAGCATGGTGACGGCTCGAAATCTTGTACTCTGTTGGAATTCGCGTTGAAGGTTGAGAGGTCTGTGGGCAGAAATTCACAAGTGGAGGGCTGAATCGGGAGGGACCCTTCTTAATCCATCTATTCAAAGGGGTATCCATATCCGGATCGGGGTACCGTTGATAAGTACGCCAGCTTCATATAGCCCGCGTAGACTTATGCATCCATGAGCTGCGCGTCCTACTATATACGCTCGGCGGACCGGGGATTGGGCAGCAACACGAATGTGGTGTCCTGTGTATATATTGATTGCACCGACAGTCGATCTCTACTACATTTAGCAAGCAATACAACATGAAAACTTACATCCTTTGTTCCATTGCGCAATGTTGCTGTCGATCGCGCTCTCATGTATAACTGAATCAACGCCCATTTCGCCCAAGTAATTGATATCTCATCAACTCGGCTTACCGGGCCTTAAGCTTCAAGGTATGCAATTCTGCGGCTGAGGCATTGACTTCCCTGCTGATCTGCACGATTGCAAATTAGTACTTTTGTTGAGAGCGAAGCCAGAACGAGGCTGCATCATTTCGGGGGCATTTGACCAACCCGTGTTGTGGTTGCTGGAAGAATAGTTGCTTCTCCTCTCCTTGTAGCTTGTACACGACTTCGATCTGCGGGCGAACTGCACTAGACCTGGTGTCATGTCTTGTCCCTGTGCGGAAAAGACCTGACCGTTGAAGGATTTCCAGTCTGCTTTCTCTGCCGAAGCCAGGCACAAATTGGCCTTGGGGCAACGACCGAAAAGCGATGGCTACACCAGGACCGCATCGTCTTACCCAGCCTTTGAAACCTATCTAACACAAGTAAGCAACATAGAAGGGTTGAGAGGTCGGTGAATATACGCCTGCCTCGCACCGTATAACCAGTTCATGACGACAATCACCACCGACCGTGGCCGTCGAAGAAGGTTCTCCATAGCAAACCAACCTCACGGCTACAGTGTTGCATGCGCGACCGGTAAATATTATAGACATTCCGAATGAGAAAGCCAATTCCGACTGAGACAGGACCACAAGGCACGGGTCATCAACTCGTACCTGCTTTGCATAAATTAAACGCAGGGTCGATTGGTCCCATAGATAAGAGCAGGATCCTCAAATCCTATGCGGCCCTTTGCGACGGCCCTGACTGCTAGCAGCACAGCGACGGAGAAGCGGATTCTTCAGAACAGTGGGAGTAGAGGGTGACGGAAACACCAACAATAGGGTCGGAATGCTAGCTATTCCAAGGGCATCTATTGCCAGTGTAATAGTTTGGCAGTGGATTGCGGCTCATTCCAGTCTTTCCACTACTCTTCTCGATCCTCGTTAAACCACTCGTCCACCAACAGATCCTTCGCCGTCGGCCTATCCCTCCAGTCCATCTTCATGATTTTACAGGTAAATTCCTTGTCCTTTTTACAGACCTCCCTTTCCGTCGTCCTATAGAATGGCGTTGTCTGGGATTGTGGTATCTCGTGCATGAGGTAGAGAATAGCTGTAATGGTTTCTGGCTTCGTAATGTCTTCGTATTTTGCAGGGAATGGGCCAAAATATTGGAACTGCCGCTTGAGGACCTCTAATCCGTACTCTTCGTGGCCATACGGGACAGTGCGGGGCCGGAATAGGTTAAAGTCTCCACCGTAGAGGAGGCTTATGAGCTGGGAGTTGGGTAAGCCTTCAACTCATTCTTGTGCTATGGCTTGAACGCACCACTGTACCAAACGACCAGATGTCGGTCGCTGTGTTCCAAGGCGTCTCCATGATCACCTCTGGACTAGACCACATAGGTGCTCCAACTGGAGTACCTTCTTTAGCGTAATTAGAATTAGAAGGGAACGCGCCTCCGAGATCGCCAAGCTGGACGTCTGAAAACCGTATATCACCTCTTCCATAGTTCACGAATATATTGTCTAGTTTGACATCTTAAAGCTTCAATTTAGTAAGTAATAAGGAAGGACTTCGTTTGAGTATTTACCTGTGTGCACATAGTCGTCTTCATGCAGTAGTGCCAACGCTTCAAGCACCCGTCTCGAGACATACTTGACCTCCTTTCGAGTCAAGGCCTTTTTAACGGACGCATTTAATAGGTGGTCATCAAGATACTTCAAGACGACGGTTGGAGGATAAGAAAGTTCTTGAATCTCATCGATAAATGGCCGTAGGTAAGGAGTTCGATGCTGGAAGCGTTTGAGGACATTTCGTTCATTCTCCACACGAGGATGCCCCTTGACGCTCTTGATGACTACAGTTTCCTCAAGCTGGTTTCTATCCCGGAGTAAGTCATACATCCTGCTCCAAGAGCTGTGGTTTTGAAAACTAACTTTGCGAACCAGACGGTGTCCTGGATTTCTTTCGTGATGGTATATCTTCCCAGCCTCCCCCGGAGGACCTGCCCCAGTCGAAAAAGTGACGAGGATATTAGAAAGCACTAGACATGGTCAAATAAACCATTTGCAGACAGCCTGACTCTAAGAGAAAGCCGTCTCAAGGTAATAAGCCCAAGGTGATGGAAAACGATGGAGTCGCGGAGGCGCGCACACCCGCAGCTCACCACCTCCTACCCTAGGGTATTCTGTTGCGTGGTGATGTGCCTCGCCAAGCCTGCTGTGCCACTCCCCAATGGACAAGACATGACATGGACACTGCAACATATTCGCTCAGCAGTTAGAGGAGTGAGGGACTCTGGGAACCAATAGACCCAGATTGCCGCTACCATTTATCGATTGATTAGAATGCCCGTGACAGGGAGTCTATTTCCCAGTTGGGTAGCAATGTCAGGAATAGATATATTTACCTACACCTGATATATCTGAGAAGATTGGAAGACTTGAAATTGCTGTAATGCCCTATTTCTTCCAGTCTTTCCCGGGTGAAATAAGATTACAAGGGGCGGCTACACTGGCCCCCATATCTGCTTAGGGGTATATGAAATCGTCCATGTTTGAGGAGCTCGTATCTTACGGGGTTATGCTACACCGCCAAGGCGACCGGAAACGAGTGTGTGATCGATGGCTATGGCGAAGAGTCCTATTGTACAAGTAGTTTGGGTCCGTCTCCTGAAGGCGCACGTTTGAGAATATGATACACTCCGTGAAAGAATGTAGGGAATGGCTAACTTGACGATACTCCTTGGTACGAGGTAGGACTGATATCTTTTTGTCCGACTATACATATATGTTGTTGCGAGTATTCTATGCTCGTGAAGATGTATGCAATCTCACAGGCAGTCACAAGCGTATTCCAAAAGGCCACAAGTAGCAGGCGGGCAAGATGCTACCATTCAAGTCGTTGATTCTGCTGGCCGCATCGATACCTCTGAATACCATCCTCGCTGCCGAGTTAGTGCCACTTCGTCAGGATGGCTTTGGAAAGAATCGCAAACGGCAAGATATAGGTGGATTAGACCTCAAGACGCAGGAGAGTTTCATTTGGGGAAGTCCTGGTAAGTGTAAACATAATTAGCATCAATGTTCGCCAACTGATATCCGCGAAGATGCAAGTAATGCTGTCGCAAACCTTACGATATACATGCAAGGGGAAAATGAGAACCTTCTGTCAATGGAGGCCTTTGATGGAATGCTTACGAGTGTCCATTGCAGTGCAGATCTGATTTCCATGACGTTTTCAGACGACAGCACATTCGCACATGCCCAGCGAGTTTGGGACTGGGTCAATGGAGCCGAAAACAACAGTTTCGTCATGATCGCTGGCGTAGGTGACTGCGGAAATAATACCCGTCGCATACCATACATCGTCTCAACCGTTACTTATGATGAAGGAGCCAACGAAGCGAAACTAGCCGTGGCGCGTACGACATGGTCCGGATTCGCCCACAGCTACGACCTCACTGTCCGCCACCTCGCGGAAACTTCGGTGTTTGATTCAATGCGGGTTCGCGATATTGGGAAGACGGCTTCTATTGACTTCACGCATGCGTTCCCATTTAGCTTCGCCATAGGTGCCCAGGGACTGCAGGCGAGGTTGACATGTGCGAACTGCAGTTCAACAGGCTCATTCGAGATGGAGTTTAAGGTCTCACAGAGGCTGTTCATTCCCACAGATGCCAGCATAAAAATAGGCCAAAAGCGGTTTCTGCGACAGCTCAAATCAAGCTGTCGGGTAGTGGGGAACTGACAGACGCGCTTACCAGAGAGTTCAAGATTGTCGAAATCCCTCTCAGCGGAATCAAAGTCCCGGGCATCCTCGATCTTGGTCCCTTCCTGTCAGTGAGCGCCGGAGCGGAACTATCAGCTATCACACTGAGCGCTGGGGTTCAGAGCGGCGCAACAGCGGTCCTCGAAGATGCGGCGATACTGGAGGTTGACCTTCTCAATCCAGAGCAGAACAAGTTCTCTGGATGGGAACCTCACATCGACTTTGCGGACGTCAGAGTCGATGCGTCCATTTCCGGAGGCGTCGCGGTGTTTCTCAAGCCGGCGATCGAATTGCAAGCGGAGGTCTTGGGCAGAGGTTTCGCCATTGGACTGAACATGAAATTACCAAACATAAACGCGAAACTGGAGACAATTGCCTGTGAGCCCTGATTAGTTAAAACAGATAGAATGTATGCTGATCTATTGCAGCTCCACAAGGCGCCTGTCCAGCCGCAGCTCTGCCTGAGGGCGTTGAAAATGCAGAAGGCGGCGTCAGGATCAGCACAAATGTCGGTGGATCTCTGAACCTTGCGGCAAAGAAATCTTCGGACGATGATCCAATATTTACTGTTCAGCTCGCGGTGAGATAGGTCCAATGTAGTCGCTTGGGGGTGCCGAATGCTGACAGCGAACAGGCGCTCGATCGGCCCATTGCCCAAACGTGTTTTCCTTTGCACAAAGCTGTTGTGCCGTAATGTCGTCCTCCACGAACACTGACTTCATATAACGCATCTTTTAAATGTCAACGACCCTCCCACCACTTTAAGGTTACGAGCAGTACACTACGATCTTAGCTAGCGGTACGTAGACAGTCGTTACAACATAAATCCAGCATCAAACCCCATAGCTTATTGTAATCTCCAATTCCGAAACATAGCATGTCCATCCGGCCCACTACAAATAGTTAGAATACGACGGCTTAAGAAAGAGGCGAAGCCACATTTTCAGCGCAGAGAAGGAACTCACCTTGGCCCTAGCCCAGACTACAAGTCTGTCACCAGCCCTTAACTCGTCGAGAAACCCCTGCCCGCTTCCTGCGCCTTCGTTGCCCTTGCATTCATCGCTAAAAACACTCCAAAGCACTGTGTGCGTGCGTGGTCTCCGATCGGCTACTTTGTTGCCCTGCAGATACCAAGCGCGTGCGTCTTCGTCAGCTTGCGGATAGTGAGCTGCCAAAGCGGGCCGCTCGACCACTATCCATCCATGCCCATCGTCCTGAGGGTCTTGAAAGAGCTCCTGCAAAGGCTGGGAGTTGGAAATCAATGGTCGGGACACGGTGCTCTGATCAGGAAGGGACTGAGCTCGAGGGTTCTCTTTACGCAGAATCGAGACCTCCAGCCACGAGGAAGTGCTATAAGGACCTATCCGTGCCACACTCAGCCAATTCACAATCACTCACATTCCCAGACCTGGCACGTTAGGCCTGATCTCGAGCGAGACTCACCTTGCGTCCATCCATGCTCATATGAGGTGATGTGAAACTCTACAGCTTTTACCTTGACGTTCTCTTCACGAAAGCTTCTTAAACCACTTTCTGGAAGCACTTCAACGTCGAAACATATCTTCCCAAAGGATGACCACGAGCTAGCATAAACTTGGCATTCGCGCTCCATAGTAAACACCTGACATGGCCAGTATTGCGCAAATTCGAGAATATGCAGCACGAGTTCGGTAGGCAGCTTTGTTTGCAGCATTGCACGCGCGACGTGAAGGTCTGCGAAGGAAGGCCGGAATGACAACCCGGGCCGCACATGAGGTCGAAGTGGAGGTGGTTCTGTGCCGTTGCCGCGGCTAGCCCGTAAGAAGCTCTTGATGCGTGTCAGGTAGTTCATACTACTGTGTACAGTCTTTGGTGTTTTGCGGTATCGCAACGTCTAGATCATGCCTTGTTGCTTAAGCTAAGCAGCAGGCGTGTGAAAACGCAATGCTAACGAGCCCCTTATTCTTGGCAATTAAACCGTCTACGACTAACGTATTCCACCATCGAGATGGACAAACCATCGAGATGGACACTTTGCCAAGACATCATGAACACCAACATCTAGAATACCTATTCCTTAACAGTACTATCCTCAACAGTACTGTCGTCGCTGCTGCTTGACTTTATAGTACTATCTTCAACTATTTGACATGTTCGCGCGTTATGCCCAGTCCCACCGCAGGTACCACAGCGCCGTCGAGCTGGCTGCACCGTATTAGCCCTCACTTTACCACTACTCCTCCGAGCACTGTGCTCCATAGTATCATTCTCTGCAGGCACCAGCTGTGATCCAGCCTTATAGGTTAGTGTTCTCCCTTGCTGGATACGCTTCCTCTTACGTGATTTCCGCTTTGTTGCCTCCTCTACTATCTTTTCAAGGCTGGTAATCCGATCGCGCATCAGCTCAACCTGATGCGCCATCTTGTGGGCACCTTTGACAAGCTGATTGATGCTATCCTTAAGAGATGATGGTGAACTACTAAGCTTAGTACTAATAAGCTTCGATTGCGATCCAAATTCCAGAGTATTGCTTGGTGTTTTAGCTTCCCAGGGGTTGTTGTTAGTGGTAGATGGTGTTGGCATACGTATCGGAGCAGTAAGGTTCGATAGCACCATCTGTGGATCAAATGGAACCAGGCCAGCACCTTAGAAGCTTCCTCTGATATTCTCCTCTATGATTGATGCATTGAATGCCTCTCGGAAGGCAGGCAGGAAGGTCATTTTGTCGACGTGGAGGATATCATTACATGCCAAGCCCAGAATCATATGACCATATCTCTGCTTCAGAGGTGAGAAACAGCCCACATCTAAAGGCTGTAGGATATGGGATGAATGCGAGGGCATACATATAGTAATGATCTTGTGTTCCTCGTAGTAGTCGTTGAAATCCTGTGACTGGTGGCTCTCGTGGCCATCGATAATGAGGAGCCGATAGGCATCTATAACCCGGTCTTTTGTATGCTTGTCAAAGTGCTTCAACCACGCAAGGCCGAGCTCATTTGTTGTCCATCCATTATCTGAGACCCCAAAAAGCCAATCCTGAGGTATATCTATCTCTTGATACCAGCCAGAAAGGTGGTTCTTGCCTTTGTATATAATGAAGGGTGGAATCATGTACCCCAGCGTGCCGATACCTTAGATCACAGTAACCCACTCGCGATCGCCTGGTTGAGTAGCTGATGGTCGATGCCGTCTCTCAGAGCCAGTAACTACTTTGTGAGCCGTGCTGATGCCCATCTGGAAGCCAGTTTCGTCGAAGTTGTACATGTCATCGTCCTGGATGCCATACTTTGCCTTTGTGTTGGCTGCTAGCCGGAACCAGTCCTCTATTACAACTGGATCTTCTTGCTTTGCCCTCTGATGGTCCTTAGCCCTGCTGAATCGAGTAGGCCAGTTGGTGCTGACTGGGTCTTTATCCCGTGTCCTCAGTAGTTTATTTGCTATATTGCCCACCTCCATAAGCGTAGGGCTAAATCCTCTGAGATCTAGGTCAAGGATATAGTATATAATCGTCTCCTCTTCAGCACGTGTAAGGCTCTTTCGGTTTGGCTCACAATCATGTCATGATGCAATCCCAGCGTATCGGTTACAGAGGGTCGATAACTTGACATTGAAGGTGCGCACCGCATTCCGGAGGCCATAAATTGTTCCCTGTTCAATTGCTTGAAGGGCAAGAATTATTCGATCTTCTTCTTGGATAGATTCTGCGTTGTGTGATCTAGTCATGTCGTGTTGGAATTGGTAGTCGCGTTATCTTGGCAAAGTGTCCATCTCGACGGTTTGTCCATCTCGATGGTGGAATATGGTAGTTCATGTTTCCCTATACTTGGTACCTTTGCGGTCCCGGGAATTAGCCCTAGGGATTACAGGGCAGATAAAGCCCTAGCATTGCATAGTGCGAAATAGTGCTATCTAATAGGGTTAGGGTTAGGGTTAGGGTTAGGGTTAGGGTTAGGGTTAGGGTTAGGGTTAGGGTTAGGGTTAGGGTTAGGGTTAGGGTTAGGGTTAGGG